CAACTTTGCTGTTTTCCATTTATCATTCCTAGTTCATGTGGTGTCTGGCTGCTGGCAGAATTCACTCTGAACCAGCCTGAGTACTGGATCTAACAATTCTTGAGCACTAGAGGATGACTGGTCATAGAGATCTTGGGACAATAACTAGAAAATCCCCTTGCTCTGAAAGGTGTGTTGCAGAATATGCAAATCCCTTCCAATCACAGAAGGGATTTCAGTTCCCCAGCTTACCACAAGTTTAGGCTATTGTTGTTTTCCTCTGTCTTTGCTCAAAATTAAACACAGAATCATGTGAGGCTTAATATATGCACCATTTCCTTTGCATTCCCAAATGTACATTTTATGGTTGCTACTATTGAAGACCCCTCAAAATGCTCATGGATTCCATAGTTCTTCACTTTTGAGCAGAGACTTATGAGTCTGGTGTGCAAGAGTTGGTCCTATAGCCAGAATGAGACCAGCAGCCTGCTTGGTGTTTACTTTCATTCTTTTGTGTCACTTTTATCCTGAAAAGTGTGAGTGGATAAGGACTCTTTTATGTAGGGGGAAGAAAAAGACTTAAAAAAAGAAGTCAGTATCCAGATGGTTTTAAGTAAATGACATAAGAAATTTTAGATATTAGTCAGAAAACTGTAGATCCACGTAAGTTGAACAGTGTTTGAGAACTTTTAACAAAAATAAAATAAAGAAGAAAAAATTCCATAAAATGGTTTTGATTTATTCTCTCAATGAAAAAAAAAATAGCTACTTTTTTTGGATGAGAGATAAATTAGAGCTTTGAAGGCATGTCTTCATTTTTTTCTAGTTCCACTTGACTAGATTTTTAATAGGCTGCTGTAATAGCACCAGAGATTAGGATTCACATCTCCCTTAAAAATACTAAAGGCCCATAAGTGCTTGATGATGTTTCACAAAGTCACCCCACTTTATACCACACAGCCAAACTACAGTCATGCACCCCAAAGCTTATCTATGTGGGAAGACTCTAAGCTGGACTGTAGGAATGAGTCTTTTTGGTACAACCTTCTATGATGAAGTCTTGAGTGCCAAAACCTTCCAGGGATACCAACACTGAAACCTTTGTATCTATCTTGGAAGCTTTCTTCAGCCTTGACTTACTCTAGAACATTTCAACTGAGAGTCAAGTTGGTAGCTTTATCAACTGAGCTTTTCACATTAGTGCCAGCTGCTTAAAAATGTCAAGCAGCCAACAGATATTTAATTTACTAGTCTATAAAAGGCACGTGGTGGGCACCACATGGGCAAATTGTAGGGTTAGTTCTTGCCCATACTTAGATTCTGTCTGAGAGTGAGATAAGAAAAGGTATATGAATAGTAAAGTAAATAACAGTTAAAGTTTTAAACATGATTATCTGCCAAATATAGACATCGTAGATTAGAAGAGAGGGTTCATTTATTTATTCATCAAACTTTTACTGGTATTTACATTGGACCAGACATTACTCCTTCCTATAGAGTTCCTTGAAACTAAAACTTAAATAGCCAACTTCCTGCTTTACATCTCCATGTAGGAATCTAACGGGCTTTGCAAATTCAGCATTCTTATACTGAGCTTTGTTTCCAAACTTTCCCCTCCTATACTCTTTGCCATTTGAATGGCAACTTGATCCTTCTGGATGTTCAAGTGGAAAACATCAGTCAACCTTGACCCCTTTCTTTTTCTCATGCTTTATATTCAATTCATAAGCAGATTCTGTTTTGAAATATTTCCAGAATTTAGCCACTTCCTAGTACCTAGTCAAATGCCACCCCACACAGCCTTACCTGGTAAGTACTCTTACTCTCTCTCTCTTTTTTTTTTTTTTTTTTTGTCAATGAAGAAATGAAGACCCAAAGAAGACAAGTCACTAGTCAAGATCCTATAGCCAATGAGTGGCTGAGAGAGAACTTAAACGCTGGTGTTCTGGCTCGATAGCCCATGCATACTCTTAGCTCATGCGCCTGTTCCCTCCAACAGCTTCCCTTTGCACTTCTAGAAAAAGCCCAAGTCTTTAGGACAGCTGGTGGAGCCTGACTTGATTTGTCCCCCATTCCTCCCCTGATCTCACCACCTACTACCTTCTTTTTGGCTTACCCAGCCACACTGATCACTTCACTGTTCCTCAAACACTTCTTCCCATATTAAAGCTTTCACCTGGGCTGGTCCTACTGCCCAAGCTATTTGCCCCCGAAACTGACATGGTTCACTCCCTCTCCTTGTCCTCCTTTTTCTTAAAATGTCGCTTTTCCAGCTAAGATGTCCTATTGCATACCTCGCTGATACATCTAGGCACTCTCGTAAGGACTAAACACACACTTTTCCTGATTACATTCACACAACAGTTCTGATTTTATGGATGAGGAAGAGAAACAGAGATGTTAAGGAGCATGCTCAAGATTACACAGGAGGAAGTCAGAATTCCAGCCCAGATGGTCTGGCTCCAGGGTCTGTGATTGTAAAAAAAAAAAAAAAAAAAGGTAAAATAAAATCAACCACAAAATATGGTGATTAACAAGCATGAAGACATGAGAAAAGAAAATCTAAGCCATTTTCAGGAGCACAGAGTCAGAATGAGAAGATGATTAGCAAACATAAGAACATTAGGCTGAAGGAGGACAGGAAGTGGAGTTTAGATTAACATCTTCCAGAGCTGAGTCATGTTTCTCAGTGTCATTCACAGAATCACCTGGGAGTGATGTTGAAAGTGCAAATCCCCAGGCCCCTCTCCTGACCTCATCTCTAGGCTATAGGAGCTCAAGCGTCCATGTGACTAAGTACTCCCAGGTGATTTTGAAACTCAGATTTTTAAACCCTCATCTTGGAAGACAGGAAATATTTTCATTGACTTAAATTTGTACACCAAGCATCATAACCCTAATGCTGGATTTGCCTAACAACAAGATGTACAACATGTGCTATCCACCTTAAAAGTTCACAACTTTGAGCCTTTGCCGCAGCTCACTAGGCTAATCCTCCGCCTTGCGGCGCCGGCACACCGGGTTCTAGTCCCGGTCGGGACGCCGGATTCTGTCCTGGTTGCCCCTCTTCCAGGCCAGCTCTCTGCTGTGGCCCAGGAGGGCAGTGGAGGATGGCCCAAGTGCTTGGGCCCTGCACCCCATGGGAGACCAGGAGAAGCACCTGGCTCCTGGCTTTGGATCAGCGCGGTGCGCCAGCCGCAGCAGGCCAGCCGCGGCGGCCATTGGAGGATGAACCAACGGCAAAAGGAAGACCTTCCTCTCTGTTTCTCTCTCTCACTGTCCACTCTGCCTGTCAAAAATAAATAAATAAATAAATAAAGTTCGCAACTTAGTACAGGGATCTTTGATGATTCTTGTTCATTTGTGGATTCCCAGTGTCGGGAATGGGTCCACAATGGGGCTACAATAAATAATTGTTCAATGTGTACATTTTGGTGTTGCCTTGAGGAAATTTTCAAGATGCACAACAGGTTCGCATGATCACATTTTAATCTCAATACAAGATTTTCATTATACTTCTTATAAAATTTCAGTTTATTTGTTTTAGCATCATTGCCTTAGAAATGTGAGCAGAGTAGAAAGTACACTGGCTTTTGGAATCATTGATCTATGTGTGACTGCTGTGTGATGTTAACAAGATTTAAGCCTTTCTCTATTTCTTTTATGGCCTCATTTAGTTTTATTAAAGGGACTGTATAGACATAAGGATCCCTGAAAAAATAGGAAATGATCATGAGGTGAATATTTGAATCTCTGTTATTTTGTAACATATACATATTCATTTGGAAATTTACAGCTGCAAAATTGTATAGCTACTTAGTAAAGTTAGAGAAAAAACAGAAGTTTTCATTACTGACCTCAGATGAGCAATATATAGAAAGTGCTCACGTTATGAACAAGAGTTAAACTTGGAAACCAAAGGTCTCTCTGACCTTTGTACTATCTCAAGTCTTTTTAAATAGAATTTGTGAAACCTAATGAACGTGTATGAGATTGTTTCCACTTAGTGTTTTCTTATAGTGATAATCATAGCCCCAAATTCATGAGTAATATTGCTTTTTGAAAATCAAATATTGATTTGCTGAAGAAGTTGGCGTATGATATTATGGCTTAATATTCTATCACTTAGAGGCACCGACTAAGCCAAATGACTTTCCCTTAATAACTTCCAGTGTAACAGGTATTTTCCATTCATTATTTACTACATCTTTAATATCTTAACATTGATGCTTAAGGAAAAATTCAATTGTGCTGAAATCAACCAGACTTCAATTCATTCCCAATTTTAGAAACTTTAGCACACCACATAAATCCTAAAAGGGTATTTTAGTGACTAAGCAGATCTTTCCCTAAATCTAAAGGAAAAACTCTGTTCTCTGCTTTATACTTGCTGATCAAACAAATGCATGAAAAAAGGAGTAATGCTGTCTACTACAATTAAGGCACAGGCAAAAATGTAGTCAGACAAGTGGCAAGGACAGCTTTCTACTGAAAATACTATGCATTCCACAAAATTCTCCATATTTTCTTCTCATTTTATGCATAAGTTAAACATTGTAAAAACCTTGCTGTTGCAGAATCAGAAATAAAAGTCCCAGATAACTTAGTTAAGAGATCAAACTAGCAGCATCAATACATCTTGATTGGTTACATATAGTATAAAATATCCGTTTGGAGCTCTTTCAAATTAGAGTTGTAAAATAAACCCTACTTAATTCAACCAAACTTCAAACTTTTCTCTGTTTTTACAGAAATCTTAATAACAACATGTAAAACATTAGGCAGAAGAGAATTTCTAATAGACACATAAGTTGCACATTTTCATGACAGTTCTAAGAGAAAAATCAGTTCTTGGGATGGCAGAAACAGTTCTGCAAATTTTTCTCCAAACTGTACAGTAAAGTAGTAAGCTCTAGGTCACACATTTCTTAATCTAAAGCTGAACACCTAAAGCCTTAAATCACAACTTCTTCATAATAACAGTTCAGTCAACCAAGGCTTCTTTGCCAAGGATACCATACCATTATGATGAGGGTTCTAGGTCTACTCATTTCATCGTCACTTTCCAGAGGCAAAATTTCGTGGGATGGTTCCTCCTGGCGTCGTCTACAAATGTGTGGACAGCTCCTCTGGACCACAGAGCGAAAAGCTTGAAGCAGAACAATGCTGGCAGTGCAGCCCATCGCTGCATCCTGGAGCCTACGGAATAACTTCTATGTTGATGCTATGTTTGAAAAACAGTGGCTCCTTGTCCCTGAAACAGCCTACACTGCAGCTTGCAGCCGGCTCACTCTCCAATCACTTCCTTGAGCTCTGATCATCTGATCAGGGCCAAATAGCTTGGATGCAGAGATTGGAAAGATTGGATCCACGGAAACAGAACACACTCAAGAATATCACAGCGTTTCTTTCTGTGAGTATTTCTCAATACATTTTGAGAGCATGTGAGCATGTTTTCTGTTACGATGACTCTCTTTGACTCCTGGGTCAGAAGTTTGAATAAATATACTGTTCTCACTCAGACACACAAATAAATCACTCTTTTTCAGATTAAACAACTGAACATCGGACTTCACACTGATGTTTTCCCCAAGGCAAATGTGCATCATATACAGAGTGAAAATGATTGTTTTTATAAAAATTGTCAAGACTTCCTGGAGAAAATTTTACTCAATACTTCATTAAGTGATGGGAGTTTTAGTTTTCATAGCTTATAAGTTCCAGAAATGAAATTGGCTCATCTGAAACGTAGCATACACTGAATCAAGACGATTTATCAAAAGTATGCATGCGTTAACCAAAGCCGCTTGAGCGACACCAGTGTTCCCCTGTGATTCGCTCTCAATAATAGGGTTGTTCTGTTCCCACACATGCAGTTCTGCAGCCTAATACATTTTTATATTTACATAGGCGGCTTGTAGGGCTGAAAATATCTCTATTACAGAGGTCACTCAGTGAGCTCTGCCAAGCTGACCTCTTAGAAAAAGCAGCTGCAAGGCGTTTTCACATCCTATCAATAAGCAATCCAAGGCAACAGGAAGGGTTTGGAGGTCTGGTAGTTAAGTCTAGTATTCCCATCCTCCTGCTAACTAGTCACTTTAGAGAATCAAAGAGATGCTTAGAAACCACGTGCCCCATCTGGAATGGCCTCCGGATCTAATGGTATACTGAAAGAGAATAGCACAACAGGGGATACTTGTGCTAAAAATATCTTGATGAAAATGGATTTTGCTTACAAATGAGCAAAGTATGAAATTCCCAGTAGGATTCTCAATGCTAGGATCTTTCTTCCAAGCTATTTCTTTCAGTGTAACTCTTGGATATTTAAGAAAAACATTTTTTTTTTCAGTTTCTGGGCTCCCCGGAGTGGAAAGCACTTTGGGAAGTTTCAGGAAGGTTTGTTGTGCTGTGAGGTGTGGCCACCCCCAGCCCAGTAAAGTTGCTTTCACAGAAGCATCTAGCACAGCGTTCAATTAGGCATTAATTGCTCAGTAATTTGTCACAACACAGCATCGTTTTAATTGGTGTGTTTGCTAGAGAAGTGAAACATGTTTCTTTCTTTTTCTTTCTTTTTTTTTTCTTTAAAGAGGTACCGGCTGCCAGGAGTTTTTCATCTCCCTCTGTTTTGAGCAAACATATTTTAGTGCTTCTGGAAAAAGAAGAAAAAAATGCTAATGGTATTGGCAAGTCCCCCAACTCCCTCTGGACCTTTGTCAGAGTGCCCGGGTGCTAATCTAAACCATTTTTTTACTCCAAACAACTGGGGCATTTACTGACGAGAGGCTGCAATTTAGCCCGTCTGACTTGTGTGTATTGAATATCTATATATAATGGTGTCTGCCAGAGACAAAGCACAAAGTGGGCTTCCATGTTTATGAAAGCATCTTTTCAAGTAGGATTGCTCCTCTGGGCTTCCTGTATGTTAGTGCTCACCCTCACCCAGTCTCTCCCATACTCTGTGTAGGAAACTCTGTGTTAGATACTCTGCAGCTACTTCCTTAGGTTCTGGTTGTCTGCCCTTGACCGCTGAGCTCAGATGCAGCAAGGCCCTGATGATGTGAAATGCTTAGACAACCCACCACCTCCACCTGGAACCTCGAGGAGTCAGACATCTGAAGTACACACCAAAGACCTCACGTGGAAGATGGATTTCACACCCCAAAATGCCGTTTCACCCCTTCTCTAATGCTAGCTAACCTCTTCGGTGTCTTTTGTCTTTTGGAGTGAGACGTGTTGCCAGATGGCACAGTTTTTTGTTTTTGTTTTTGTTTTTTTTTAAGATTTATTCATTTGAAAGTCAGAGTCACACAGAGAGAGGAGAGGCAGAGAGAGAGAGAGAGGTCTTCCCCCTGCTGGTTCACTCCACAGATGGCTGCGACGGCCAGAGCAGTGCCGATCTGAAGCCAGGAGCCAGGAGCTTCTTCTGGGTCTCCCACAAGCATGCAGGGGCCCAAGGACTTGGACCATCTTCTACTGCTTTCCCAGGTCAGAGCAGAGAGCTGGATTGGAAATGGAGCAGCCGGGTCCTGAACTGACGCCCATATGGGATGCCGGTGCTTGCTTCAGGCCAGGACGTTAACCTGCTGTGCTACAGCGCCAGCCCCAGATGACACAGTATTTAGGGAAGCCAATGAGATGTTTTATAGCTCTTAGAGTCCTGTTTTCATCTCTCCCCTGTTTGCCTCTGAGGAATTTACCCCTTATTGATGAGTTGCTCTGAGATTCTCAATCACTCTCTTTGTCTTTTAACCTTTATTATCAAGTTACGGATATATCCAAGTATCAATTTCTTCAGAATTCAATATACCTCAGTTACTCAAAGGATAAGAAACAAGAAAGATAGGAAACAGGAAAGAGAACTTGGACATATTCTCTAGCATTATCTCATGAAAAGTTTCAAACATGCATCAAAGTTGCAAGAAAGGACTTGGGTTCTGAGCTCTAAGTTTTTTTTTTAATTTTTTTATTTAATTTTTTTTTTTATTTGACAGGTAGAGTTGTAGACAGTGAGAGAGAGAGAGACAGAGAAAAAGGTCTTCCTTCCGTTGGTTCACTCCCAAAATGGCTGCTATGGCTGGTGCTGCGCCGATCTGAAGCCAGGACCAGGTGCTTCTTCCTGGTCTCTGATGCCGGTGCAGGGGCCCAAGCACTTGGGCCATCCTCCACTGCCCTCCTGGGCCACAGCAGAGAGTGAAAGAGGAGCGACCAGGACTAGAACCTGGCGCCCATATGGGATGTCGGCGCAACAGACGGAGGATTAACCAAGTGAGCCACGGCGCCGGCCTCCTGAGCACTGTTTTACAGAGAAAATTAAGCTGGGGGTATATGGTGTATGGTGTATGGTGTATGGTGTATGGTGTATGTGTGGGAGAAGAGACAGAATCTACCCAAAGAGATGAGGCCATGTTTCCCTTCATAATTAATATACATGTAAATCCATAGGAAATATTAAGAAAATGAGGTGTAATCTCTTAAGCAAGTGCCTGCTGTTTTTGTTTGAACTATTAATAAGATGATTCATAACTTTGTCCTGCAAACATCAACTCTGCATGTCTTGCCTAAACAACTTTCAGAAATTGTCCTTTGCTGTCATACCCATCTCCTTCCCCTTGCTGAGTCTTATTCCATAAGTCAGTAGGATAAATGTAAAATGCTTAGATGTTCATGTTATTGTTCTGGTTGAGAAAATAATTTCACTAACCATTTGTAAGGCTAAAATTTCTGAAGACATATTGGGAACCAGATTCCATTTGATTATTAAATACATACAAGGGGGGTTCAAAAAGTTGATGGAAAATTGTACTTTTAAATTCCATTTTCCACCAACTTTCTTCAGCTTTGCTATATTAAGTCATGCTATTTCTTCTATAAAAATTCATTCATAACTTATGAAATAATGGAAAATTTTCTTGTAGCAAAGATGTGGTAGCCATGTTGCACAGTTATGGCGCAGCCTGGTGTGCATAGGAAATAAAAGGTTTAAGAATGCCATTGAGAAGTTAAGGTACACCAGGGAAAAAGATGAAAATAGGAGAAAAATAAGGAGTTTCAGAGAATAAATAAGATACAAGGAAGAAAGAATGAAGGGATAGAAATTTTAAAAAATTTACATGTGTCTCCAAGATAAGTAGGGCTCCTACTCCTGTCTCAGGGAACTCTTTACCCAATTGCCAGCTGCTCACCTCTTTTCAATAAGTCCTGACAAATGCATTAGCTTTTTAGAATAGAGTTCTAGAGTCTCTTGGCTCTAGATTTATGATTCTGGATGTAGGTATTCCCACCACTGAGATAATACATTTAAATATCTTTTTGCAATGGACAAAGAAATACATATTTAATTTAAATAAATAATGCCAGTTGAAATTGTTGGACTTTCCCAGTTTGTTAAATTATGTAAGAGCTATATATTTAAATCTATATATCTAATCTGTCTCAAGATCTCTAAGCCTATTTTTACTGTGTTGAGTTGGACGGTGGATGAGCAGGATGGGAGTTAAATTCATTTTCTTCTCCCCTCTCAAAAGATCTGGTGTACCTTCATCTCCTCTTGTGTAAAGTTGACCTGCTGAGGGGCAAGATTTTCTGCTCTTCTATAAGGTGTTAAGTACTCTGAAAGCTCCTGCAGATGGCCAAGGTTTGTCTTTTGTAAACAAAGATGAGCTTACATAAAATATTTTAATTGAGAGCTAAAGCCCAACAAAATCAGCTTCAAGGGATTTTTGGAGATCCTTGAGACTGTCTGGCTTGGTTTCTTTGCTTCACGATGAGCTGCTGGTTAATATTTCAAGACCTTAATAGGGTCGTGATTATAATTTATTCATGGGAAGGATGAGATTTTGAGAGTAGATAGTTATGGATTGAACTGTGTACCTCTCTAAATTAATATATTGAATCCCTGACCTCCAGGCTGGGCACATCTTTTTTTCTGAAGATTTATTTATTTATTTAGAAGTCAGAGTTGGGGCGGGAGGAGAGGTCTTCCATCCACTGGTTTGCTCCCAAAGTGATCATAATGGCCAGGTCAGAGGTAGGTTGAAGTCAGCACCCAAGACCCAGGAGCTACATCTGAGTCTCCCATGTAGGTGGTGGCAGGGGCCCAAGCACTTGTGCCATCTTCAACTGCTTTTTCCAGGCCATTAGCAGGAAGCTGCATTGGAAGTGCAGTAGCTGGGACACAAACTGGAACCATATGTGATGCCCGCGGACAGGGCAGCTTTATTCGTTATGCTACCATGTGGGCCCAACTCAAGTAGTCAGGCTTACAGGTTAAAATCGATTAGGTTTGTGAGCTGGAAGACCACGCCTTTGCCACGCCCCTGTGTGACTTCATGCCCCTACCTGGCCACACCTGGGTGCCCACCAGCCAATCAGGTTAATTAACCACTCCCCTTTAGGCTTCGTGGCCTAGATGTTCCTCCACGTGGCTGGTTCCTGGTGCTCGGTATGAACCCAGATTTACCTCTCGCTCTTAAATAAAGCTCTCACTCTCTTATGCATCTTTCGCACTAAACAAAAGCCTAAAATGTACCATGCTGCCTCATTTATTGAATCTGGTATTTAGAATTCTTCTCTAAATATTAGGCAAGAACCCTCTCAGGCTTATTAATATTGGGGATTTATTAATAAGCATACGGTGATATCGTGTGGCACCTCAAATTCCAATAACATGTGGCATTCCTTTGGGACTTCTGGGGAACTTCAAGGGGCCACATTTTGATACATATTTTAGGGAGTCAGTTCCAATATCACAACCATATCTCAAGATAGGGCCTTTTAGAAATTAATTATGGTTAAATGAAGTCATGAGGATGACCCCCTAATCTAACAGGACAGATTTTCTTATAGGGAAAGGAAAAAACACCATCTCCCCCCCCCCCCCGCCCAATCTCTCTTTCTCTCCATGTATGCAATGGAGACATCATATTGGACCCAGCCAAAAAGCAGCCATCTACAAGACAGAGAGGCTTCACCAGAAACCAAACCTAACCACACCATAGTCTTGAAATTCCAACCTCCAGAACTTTGAGAAAATAAATTTCTGTTGCTTAAACCACCCAGTCTGCGGTATTTTGCTGTTGTAGCCCTAACGTATTAATAGAAAATCTTGCCCAGGGAAACCTCTAGTGAATCATCAACTCCCCAGAGAAAGGGTTCTCAAAAAAACAGTTCAATTAACTCCATCTTTTCTGCTTCCAGAGAAGAAAAGTTCAAGTGTCACTGCAGAAATTGCTTCCTGTTGCACATTGAGGCCCACCAGCCAGGAGAACAGAGTCCCCGTGTGTGGAGTCTGGAGGCCCTGCTTTCTAGTTCAAGACAGAGGGTGGAGCACATTTGTTTACCTCCTTCCTTCCCCAAATTCAATTGAAATGACAAGCAAGCAATATAAAGGGAATATACTCGACATGGGATAAGGCAGGCAGCTAGATCAGGGCCACAAGCTGGGGGCCACACCTCCCTGCCCTCCCCCCTCCTTCCCCAACCTGGGAATCTTATCTACCTGTCAAGTCACACAGTCCCCTTCACAGGATGCATCTCCCTTCACCTGGGAGCTGGGGCACCAGGAGGAAAGGAAGCCCTGAGCTGCCCTCTCTCCAGTTTCCTCCCCTACCCTTTCCCTTCTTGACCTATTCTACTCTGCAGCTATGGCCGTGTGTGTGTGTGTGTGTGTGTGTGTGTTTGCTTTCTTGCCTTTTAGACAAACTTTACCACTTTGTGCACTGTATATGTGCCTATACTTAGAATGCTCTTTAGGTAGAAGGCAAAGACCTAGAATATGAATTAGATCCCACTTCTCCCACAATGCACTGACTATGATGAAGTGGGGAGGAGTTCCTTCAACAGATGAGACTTAGTATTTCTAAAGGTGAATGTGATCACATTTATCAGCAACCACACATGAAAGATTTAGGATGCACTTAGGGAACCACTTACATGCACAGTAGGAGGATGCAGTGGATGGGAATTGTTGTTCTCAACAGGGCCCAGGAGGAGCTCTGTGTTTTAGGAAGTGGGTACTGCAAGTGAGGAAGCAATTAGCAGGCTGCCTTTCTATCCCATCCTCTGCACAGACAAAATAATATAGCACCCGAAATCAGCTCTTGTAGAAAGGGCAAATGCTTCTACAATACCTAGGATGCTGTCAGCACCTCAGAGCCCTCCCCCTGTCAAATATTCCATATTTGGAATATAAATATAGGAAGATCACTGACTCTCTGTGAGTCTCTGTTACCGCTATATAATATGAGATGTTGGTTAACATCAAATTGCATGCAACAAGGAAGCTACTTCGGGATTAACCAGAATGAGATCATCATCCCAGGACAACCCGTGAGCCTGGACACGGCTGTCCACTGGCACTCACTCTTGAGGCTATTGGAGGCTGACTTGGTGTCCTGGAAAGTTGGCTGGCAGCTTGGACATGCTGCTGCTGCTGAAAGAATCAGCCACATCCTGGGCTGGTGTGAGGATCTGGAGATGCCCATCAAGTTGGTGGGAACTCAACTGCCTCACCATCTGTGGCACACTTTCCTCCTCCACCAGCAGTGGTATTGTCTGCAAAGTCTTGTGACAGGAAAAACCTGGAGATGAAGGCTTGGGGTAGGACACCTCAATCTGCTTATTTCAGGCATAGCACAGTCTATACATCAGAGCTTAATAATAGTTTATGGAATGAATGAATCAATCAATAGATAATAAACATCGTCATCATCAAGTCTTAACATGTTGGGTTTCTTTGTAAATTTTTCAGAGGTTCTGTCATTGTTCTCAAACAAAAGTGATTTAAAGGCTGAGAATCCCCCATAGATTGAAGGTGACTGGGGATTTAGCCCCAAATCTAGTGAAACCAGGTCACAGGATTTGGCCATTCTCCAGAACAAGGATTAGTAGCAACCATTTTCCTTATCTATTTCCAGATGAGTAATTCCCCTCAGCTGTGAACTCAATTAAATGGCCAAGAGGGAGTTAATCAATGCCTGTGTAGCTGAAAAAATGGAAAACACATCCAGTGAGTGATTCTCCCTCAGGCCAAGTCACCCTTTTATCACCTGGCGTATCTGCCTCTCCTATTGCTACTCCTCTTCCAGACAGTTGGGATGTAAGTTTAGCTTAATAGTAACACAGCTTTCTTTTTGGCATATCTGTGATGTTTAGAGTTCTTTTATTTCTGTTTCTCTCTCTTCATTTTCACTTAATTATAGTGGTCTCTTCTTTACAGACATCTTCCTCACATGCTGACATTTATTGAGTTGTACAATCAGTCACTTTGGAAACAAGCACACTGTTCTTTTGCTTTAAAAATACAAGCGTGGTTGTCAAGCCCTCCTTTATCTTCATTTTCATACCTTTGGTACTGGTGCAGTTCAAAAGCAGATTTTTCTTTTGCTGGTACATTTAGATGCATCAGAAAATTATCTTTCATTGCTCTCTAAGTAAGCTTCCTTCAGAGAATGTGGAAAATTTAAATGCTCCTTTAATATCATCCCTTACATTTCTCAGGTGTCGATGTTTGAATTCCTTTCAGCTCATAATATACTCCTTATTCTTTTTCTTGAAATTTTGAACCATGAAATTTGTTTTAAAAAAAAGATTACCAAACTATCTGGGCTTGATTTTACATTCACTGATTTCATGAACAGCAATAATTTGAAAAGGCTTTCATAGTACTTTGTCAAATAAAAATCTCTAGAATTTTCTCTTGTTTTTAAGTTTCATGATTTTTTTATGCTTTAACTATTTGAAGGTTTTGGTCTTAGGGCTTTTTTTTTTTTTTTTACTTATTTGTTTATTTCCTTATTAGTAGTAGAATGTAGAATAGGTAGCAGTTAAGCAAAGGATCAGGAAGCTAATTGCCAACATTTAAGTCCCTGTTGAGGTTCTCATTGCCTTTATGACTTTAAACAAAAATTTTAAGCCTCAGGTCCTCATCTGTTAAATAAATGAACACTCATGAGGACCTCATATCCATACCAAGTGCTCAGCCCTGTATCAGACACATGGTAAATATTCAATACTTATTAATTACTACTAAAAAAGAGAAAAACCATGGACTTCTAGACATTGCTTTTTTCTACTCCACTACCTCACAAGTATGATTTTTCATATCTTAATTCTTTCTTGCCCAGAAAGACATGTTACCTCGATGATGGGGAGAATGAGATTGTTGGACATGTTTATACCGTGCTTTAAAGTTAGCCCACATGATTAGCTGACACAAGTTTCATTACCATATCCCTGTCCTTTTCTATAAGCAAATATTTAAAATAATATAACAATACCTCATTTATCCTCAGGTCATTCATTTTGCAACCTCAATTATTCTGATCACAGTCAGATCCTAGAAAGAAACAAATAAATGCTGAAGTGCCAGAGAGACATGGCACACGATTCATTCTTCAAAGTTTATAGGCGTGGCTTGGAGAAGAAGTCCTCATACCACTATTTCTTGCACCATCACTTTATGCAGGAATCTGAAGACCTTGCTGAGCTAAGTTTAGTAGAAATAGGAAGCAGTCAATTAGAACTAGAAGGCTACCCCTTCAGAAGGCAGGGTATTAACAACTTTTTCCAGGGGCTATGGTGGGCTCATCAGTTAAGCCAGCTCTCTAAAACTCAGCCACCAGATGAGGCTTGGGGCTGTGTATATGATGGGGGAATGGAGGTACACTGTTTCAACTTGGTACCTAGACAGTGATTCAGAGTGATGTACATGAGCTCTATTTGAAGAGATCTGAGTTTGAATCTTAGTTGAGTTGTCATGGTATGTCACTTTAGTTCTCTGAGCCTTATTTTTCTCAATTGTCCAATGATATTGATGAAGTATTTTGCAGAATGAAGATACTTATAAAACAAAGACATTTAGTATAAAACAGTGGCATAAATGGTAAATGTTTCCCATCCTAACACCACTATTATTAATGCAGCTTTTGAGTGATCATCATTGTTATTGTAACTAAGTACAAAAAAGGGTAAGAATAGTCCTGCAAGTCAAGGCTCAAAACCAATTTGTAAACAGCAACTCCAACAAAAGGCAAAGTCGTGGTACCAGAAGAAAATGGCAAGGTCAAGAGTGAGGTGGAGCAGAAGTGTCTTTGGCTCCTCTTCAGCAGCCAGTGGGCCCTGTGTTCATGACTGCATCTGGCCAACTTAGAAGAATAGGCCATCTACAAAAGGAAGGAATAGATGATAGATGATCTGACAAAAATAAAAAGGTAGGAAAATATCAATATCCACTGTATCTGAGACTAATCCATGTTGGGGGCCTTAAACATCTCAAAGTCAACATAAACTGCACAATGCTCTACCCTGGTACAATAATGAGTGCTCACAGCAATGACATTGATGCACCAGGGAAAGCAAAATTATGTTCACTGGTCATAGTTTGTGGACAAAGAAATCTGTGAGGCATTCCAGTTAAGAGTTCCACCAATGACTGTTTTTAATTTTCAAAAGTTTAGTGGTTAAATTGGGCAAATTTTGTTATCTTTGCAAGTTAGCTATGTGAAAAATGTTCTCAGATGATATGAACAAATGAGCTATTAACTGTACTTTCACTACTTGTTCCATTTTATTTTCTATGTTCATTTCCCCCTTTTGAATTGTGGCAGGAATTAACCACCCACATCCTAAGCATTCCAAGTTAAATCTAGTTTACAATAATCACGAATTTCTTTCCAAACATGAAAATGGCAGTCTTTAAAGTCATTTACAAATGTTCTTTCCAAACCAACTGGAAAGATGAAAAGGATGATGTCAACTCTCCAAGCTTTGCCAGGACTCAGGGGAGTGGCCCTGCATATCATTCGGGGGTGGATGCCAAGCATCCAGCTCCAGGCTTTTGAAAGGAAAGGA